GGGCGAGATAAGCTCTTCGGATCTAATCTCATGGTTTGGGAAAAACTAAACTACCAATCCTTCAATCACCTTATGCAACAAAGTGGGGTCAAGTTGGTATAAAAGTGAAGAAGACAAGTTCACCTTCATGTGACTGGACTGTACCGATGTAGTGCGACTGCGAAGTGTGACCCATTTTTTCTTGTCCTGTCGCGACTAAGCTTTGACAGGCTGATGGTTACAACATGTTTGCAGCCCTAAATTTCACCATTTAAAGGGCCATAGACGATATTTTTGCTGGGTTCTGGATGACTCATTGCAGGATTTTGACTTTGATCCCAACAGTTTTGCGGAAAGGCCGTACCTGTCAACCGTGTTTGCTTTGCGAGACAGCAGAATCTGGCATGTTCTACGGAATTAAATCTTCTGTACACGTTATCGATACTTCCTTAGACTTCATGAATCAGCAGAATACTTGATCTAACCATCCTATTTGACCCAAAAAGTATACTTGCCTGGCACTATGGGCTTATGCTTCAACTATTCCTCAAACGCCAACCTTTTTTTCCGTTTGTTTACGCCAGAACTTCTCTGGACGTCGCCAGAACTGCTTCGTGATCCAGAAACCATCAACAAGGGAACGCAAAAGGGAGACGTATTTTCGTTTGCCATCATAATGGCCCAACTGATTGGCCGAGGGCCGCCATACAATATGCCCGATATGACAGCACAACAGATAATTGGCAAGGTTCGAAAGCCACCACCGCTTTGCCGACCAAAGGTGAGTTTGGACCAGATTGTTCCATTTATGCATATTTTTGAGATTACCAGTAAAGCTTATAGAATAAATATGAAGACCAAGATACAATAGTATCTGGTATGGTGGCAGTCTCGTTTCGATTTATAGAAGTGGGTCAGCCTCGTTGTCGCAACTTGTTCTTGTTGTCAAGGCGACTTAGTAGAACGCACCTGGTCCGAAGTCGTCTGCCATAGTAGTTGTCATGATTCCCAGCATCAGACAGTCGACTTGGTACATTCTCAAACGTTTCGCCAGAATTGTAGTCGGCACCATCAGTGAGTTTTGTCATTCTCTGTACCAAGCTACAACTCGTCAAAGAGACAAGTGAAGTCAATCCATCGGCAAACATTATGCCAAAAACGGTTATACTATCACATCTCTTTCTGTCCTGGCCCATCTATCCATCTATCACAGAAAGAGGAATGATTGTGTAACCGTTTTT